GTGGGCGCGGCGGCTGCACCGGGGCCTGCGCGGACCGCCCGCGGCGCAGCCTCGGGCCTCTCTCCGTGTCTAAGTGGTGGTGGCTGTGGGGTTTTCTGCAGGCGATCCTTTTGAGTAATTTGTTTCACGCACGCGCCCTGCTGTGGGGTAAAGCGGCAGATTCATGCTGCTGTCATTTGTCTTTAAAACGATGGGCTTCCTGTCGGGTGTGTGTGCCTTTTGGATTTGAGGGCAGGGGGATGACATTGTGACTTGGCCTCCTGTGACCGTCCATTCTCAAGGTCTCGCCAGCGTAGTGCAGAAACTCGGCACACTCTGCCTACCTTGGAAGGAGGCTTTCCCTTCCTCCCCTCCCTCCCCTCCATCTCTTCCCTCTTTCCCTCTCTCCCCTTCACTCTCCTCCGCCAGCTCTTCTCTTCCCCCTTTCTGTTTTCTCTCTCTCTCTTTTTTTTTTTTTTTTTTTTTTTTTTCTGCGTTAAACCTTTCGGGAGTGTCTTTGTAAACTATTAAAAAGCGTTAGGTCTTCAACATGTATGTTTCCTTGCAGGCCTGAGAACTGGAGGAAACTGGAGAAAAGATGCCCTCTGACTCTTTCTGTTTGGCTGCCCAGGCTCGCCTTGACTCCAAATGGTTGAAAACAGATATACAGGTGGGGTTTGACATGTCTTTTTCTTGGTGTGTTTCTGCTTCCATGTTTAAATTTCTCGTGTAAGGCTTTTTTTTAGGGTATGTAAAGGGAAGTCAGTTGTATCTTGCTGAATTAGAGGAGCAGGTTTGTTTCCTGTAACTTAAAATGTAACAGTCTTCATGGCTCTTTTTGTAGATTGTGCAGGGCTGCCTTTTAATTAGTTTCTTGCAAGTGCAGGAAACTTGAGATCTATTCATAGGCAAAATTTTTTTTCCTATTTATTAGTAGTGGTTAAGAAATGTCACATTCCTAACCATATGATGGTGACTGTTGTTACTGATAGTTTTTGAGCTGTTTAGTTAACTGTGGAGGGGAAAATTGGAGAAGTAAGTTGTAGTAATTATGGCCTGTAGAAACCCATTTTATGAGGTCTTGCGTTTGTGTTTCTAGAGAGATAAGAGTCAGTTCAGTTGAGCTGTTTGTTTTGTATTTGTAACTCCTTATTAAGAGGAGTGCTCAGATTTTCACATCAAGAATATGAGGAAACAATGTTGGCCGTAGATATTAATTTTTTGATTTAATGAGATAATTGCAAGCTTCTCAGGACATTATTAAATAAATAATAACAGTAATATTTCAGTAGACAATCGTTTACCCCCAAGCTACTTTTATTTGGAAATGGCTTGGAAAAACTACTTTTGGAACTCCTTATCAACAGCAAAAAGAAGTGTTTGAAATATTTTCTGTGTGTCAGTGTATTTTCCTCCTCCCTAAGGTTAACCATTTTTAAGTATTAAGTAATCTGCCTTTTATAACACAGTGTTACATAGTATGACTGTTCATCAAAAGTCGTGTATGCTGTTAAGCAGTAGTTGATAGATACACTAAAGTGTTATTGCCCTTTCCTAATTTTTCTTTTTCTTTTTAAACACGTATTGAGTTTTTGTAGATATGAGAGTCCAGTGTTTAGAACTGTGTTGTGGGGCCGAGTGCGGTGGCTCACGCCTGTTGTCCTGGCACTTTGGGAGGCCGAGGCGGGTGGATCCCCTGAGGTCAGGAGTTGGAGGCCAGCCTGACCAAGATGGTGAAACCCCGTCTCTACTAAAAGTACAAAATTAGCCAGGCGTGGTGGTGTATGCCTGTAATTCCAGCTACTTGGGAGGCTGAGGCAGGAGAGTCGCTTGAACCTGGGTGGCGGAGGTTGCAGTGAGTCGAGATCACGCCATTGCACTCCAGCCTGAGCAATGATAACAAAACCGTTTCAAAAAAAAAGAAAAAAATCTGTTGTGGATGATGGGATTGTTATTCATAGCGTAATGTTACATAAGACAGAGCACAAAGAATTGGGTCAAGAATTGGTGTACTCTTTGGGTTTGTTTCTCTTTAAACATTTCCTTTGATTTAGCTATAATGGTCTGTTTTTGTCATTTTAAGTGGGTGGGAGAGGTGAGAGATGAGTACTTTCATGTTTCTGAAATCCTGAGATTCAGGCAAACTTGTTTTAATAATTGTTTTTATATTAGTGTTTATGTATTTTGAGAAACTTTTTGGAGTAAAGGAGTTTACCTAATGAAGTTTTTTTCTTAGTAATTGTAATTTAATAACTGCTAAACATGAGTTCTAGTGTCTTGATCTAAAACCAGTTTAATACTGAATTGAGTTCCTGTGATGGGTTAGGCAGATAATCATACAGTGAAGCACCATTTATGTCTTAGAGGGCCTGTTGTTTTGATTTATTAAGTGTAATATACAGTACCTGGCCCTTGTTACACATTTCCAGTATGATTAGAAAGTGTTTTTTTTTTTTTGAGATACAGTCTTACTCTGTTGCCCAGGCTGGTGTGCAGTGGTGCAATCTTGGCTCACTTCAACTTCCGCCTCCTGAGTTCAAGTGATTCTCCCACCTCAGCCTCCCGAGTAGCTGGGATTACAAGTGTGTGCTACTATGCATGCGCAACTAATTTTTGTATTTTTAGTCGAGACGGGGTTTCACCATGTTGGCCCGGCTGGTCTCCTGACCTCAAAGTGATCTGCCTGCCTCGGCCTCCCAAATTGCTGGGATTGGAGGCGTGAGCCACTGCACCTGGCCAGAAAGTTGTCTGAATTCCTTCTAGGAGTAAGGGAAATGACTAGGTTTTGGAGAGTGTGCACCAGAGGAAAAATGTGTTACAGGTCTAAGTAGCATGAAAAAAGTGATTGCTAACCTTTGTTTTATGTTCCTCCAGCATTGCTTGTTAAATGCAAGAAATGAATGCTGTTGTTTTACCCTAAGGAATAAGTCATGGTTTCCCTCTTTGGGGAGCTTCCCTGCAGACAAGAATTGCAGATGGAAGCCTTGTGCTCACAGGTTTTACCCTTATCTTGTTGAGGATGGCTCTCCCAGCTGGAGTGGAAAGGGCTTCACTACTTGAGACTTTTGTATTGGAAATGGAATTGACACCTTGGTAATGAATAATACGTGGGGTAGGAAGATATTCCTTAGCCATAGGATTTAACAGATCTGTTTTCCACAGCTAATTTTGTTTGAAATGCCCTTGAAAGTGTTAGTAGCTTAGAAAGGAAGAGTTTTTGGAGTATGAAAACTTTTAATGCTCATGTGTTACAGAGAGCACTTATCATCGACTTCTTGATCATAGACATTATTTGGATGCGTCAGGCCTAGGACTCTACATCCAGCAACCTCACACAGGGCTCATTTTATGCCAGGCATATATATCTGGTTATTACATATAAACAATTTAATTGTTCAACACTCAACACACTTTTTTTTTTTTTTTTTGAGACGGAGGGAGTCTCGCTCTGTCACCTAGGCTGGAGTGCAGTGGTGCCATTTGGCTTACTGCAAGCTCTCCCTCCTGGGTTCCCGCCATTCTCCCTCCTCAGCCTCCCGAGTAGCTGGGACTACAGGCGTGGCCCGCCACTATGCCCAGCTCATTTTGTGTAGTTTTAGTAGAGATGGGGTTTCACCATGTTAGCCAGGATGGTCTCGATCTCCTGACCTCGTGATCTGCCCGCCTCGGCCTCCCAAAGTGCTAGGATTACAGGCGTGAGCCACCACGCCCAGCCTGTTCAACACTCTTTTCTGCTTGTTGTTTGGAGTTATTGAATCACCATGTTTTCTTTCGCTGCTCTCGTGAAGAGTAATACATTACAGAGCTAAGAGGTGTTAGTCACATCACTTTTTATTTTTACAGTAAGAGTACTTTTAATCTGATGTGATTGGTAGTTTTTTAGCAAACCAAAAAGTCATTTAAGCAAATGAACCGTAAAAAACAGTGCATGATACCTTAAAAGCTTTTTATTCTTAAAACACATGCCCGTTTGCCAGTTTTGTTGTAAGGTAAAGGGGCATGTCTTTGAGCATAGGTCCAGAATGGAGTTATCCTGCCCCTTCTTGCATAAGCTGCACTCAGATGAATTTCCTACAGTTTCTATTTTTGGGTTCATTTTTAAGTGGCACAGGAAATTAGATATGCATGAAGCAATTTTTTTAAAGGTTTTTATTTTGAATTAATAATAGACTCTCAGGAAGTTGTAAAGAAAGTAGAGAGGTCATTGTATATTTACGCATACTGCCCCAGTGGTTACATCTTACGTAACTGTAATACAGTATAAAAACCCAGAAATTGAAATTGGTACAATGTGTGTGCATAGTTCCGTGCCATTCTATCACGTGTCTATAAATACACCTACTACCATAATTACTGTGCAGAACTGTTTCATCACTACAAGATCTCTCTCCTGCCCCTCTTCTGCCACCATCTCTAACTCCTGACAACTGCTAATCTGTTCTCCATCTCTATAATTTTGTTATTGTGAGATTATCATATGATATGTGACCTTCGGAAATGATTTTCTTTACTCAGCATAATGCCCTTAGGTCCGTCAAGGTTTGTTAAGTATATCAGTAGCTAAACTGGGACCATTTATTTGTCTCTTCATCTAATCATCAAAAATGACTAAGCATAAATGTAAGCTTTTAGAGTTAAACTTATTGAATATAAATATTGTCACTTCGGCCGGATGCGATGGCTCACGCCTGTAATCCCAGTACTTTGGGAGGCCAAGGCGGGCGGATCACTTGAGGTCAGGAGTTTGAAACCAGCCTGGCCCACATGATGAAACCGTGTCTCTGCTAAAAATACAAAACAGCCAGGCGTGGTGGTGCACCTTTGTAATCCTAGCTACTTGGGAGGTTGAGGCAGGAGAACTGCTTGAACCCAGGAGGTGGAGGTTGCAGTGAGCCAGGATCACACCACTGCACTCCAGCCTGGCCAACACAGCAAGACTCTGTCTCAAAAAAAAAAAAATTGTCACTTCATGCTTAGAAATATCAGCAGATGGCCAGGTGTGGTGGCTCAGCCCGTAATCCCAGCACTTTGGGAGGCCGAGGTGGGTGGATCACGAGGTCAGGAGATGAGACCATCGTGGCCAACATGGTGAAACCCCATCTCTACTAAAAATACAAAAATTAGCTGGACGTGGTGGCACGTGCCTGTAGTTCCAGCTACTCAGGAAGCTGAGGCAGGAGAATCACTTGAACCCGGGAGGCGGAGGTTGTAGTGAGCCAAGATCACGCCACCGTACTCCAGCCTGGCTACAGAGTGAGAATCCGTCTCATTAAAAAAAAAAAAAAAAAAAAAAAAGAACAGTAGATAAAAAAAAACATAAACATGAATATCTTGATAAATTCTATTCTCAGGCTTTCAGGTTCATAATACAGTTGATAGATGACAGGTAGAAATAGAAGAATTTGTAAATATAGGTATCTTCATTATGTTTTTTGGACTGTAAGGGTGCTCTTTACCTCTAATATCCAAATACAGATGCCTCAATAGAACAATTTTTGTTTTCAAAATTCAATGATAAAAAAGATGTGGTAACCCTGTATATGACATTTTGTCAGGTTAATTGAGAGCATTATGCAGCAAAAAAAAGTTTTTTGTAGAGACAGCGTCTTGGTTTGTTGTCCAGGCTGGTGTACAACTCCTGCATTCAAGGGATCCTATCAACCTTCTAAT